CGGAGGGACCCTGCGCGGGGGTTTGCCCACGAGGGGAGGCAGCGGGCCTGCGCGCTCCCAGTAGGTAGGAAGTGGGGCCGAGCAGTGCCGGCGACCTTCCTGGGGGACGCGTTTCTGGGCTCATGGTTGTGGACTTGGGACCCAAAGAAAAACGCGCGCCGTGGTCGTCTGTCTGTCTTTCTAAACGCCGCTAAGATTTCTCGAATCTCATAACACCGCGGTCTTTTTGTGCACGATTCCTTCCTCCTGAGTGGGTGATACATTTTCAACTTCACGTTAGGGCAGCGGTTCTCAACCTTCCTCATGCCGCGACCCTTTAATACAGTTCCTCATGTTGTGGTGACCCCCAACCATAAAGTTATTTTCGTTGCTACTTCATAACTGTAATGTTGCTGCTGTTATGAATCGTCATGTAAATATCTGGTAGGCAGGATGTCTTTTCGTTGTTCGCGACCCACAAGTTGAGAACCGCTGTGTTAGGGGATAAAGAAACCATGTATGTCTGGTTCGGTTCCGGGCCCGATCTTCCGCGGCTTGTATGTCCTTCAGGAAGTTCTTTTCCTTCGCTCCGTCTTAGAGAACGCAATTTACGTCGAGTCGGAGTCGAATTCGCTCCGAGGCACAGGGAGGGGGCAGAGTATTCCGTTATCGTTCAGCGTACTGTTGATGTTGATAAGGTTTGTGGGTGTAATTGGTAGTTGTGTCTCCTTCTTCCAAATCATTGATAAAACTATGCAAAATTAGGCCTATCAGATTTCTGTGGCTCCTAATACTTGCTTCTCAAAACTCTGTACCAACACTTACTCTGAATGATTGAATGCAGAACTCTGGACTATTAAAGCACACGGATAATCCCACAGCCTCTTCATTTCACCCAAAGGGTAAAGCAGAATCAATGAGGAAAGGGATCTACGTAGGTTTCCCTTTTCTTCAACATCTGTGGGCTTCTAGGGACCTAGGGGACAGTTTGAAAATCTCAAAGGTCTAGTCAAGTTCAAGTAGACACGCCTAAATTTCACCCTTAATCATATTTCAATGTATGGATCAGGTTTTGATGGCTTGCTTTTTTTTTTTTCACTCAGTTTTAGTTACCTAACTATATATTTGCTTTTCCTAAGTATGTCTCAAGTTCCAGCTCTTTCATGGAGCCCATTTAGGTTTACCTTGATCTTTCTTTCTTTTTTTTAATATTATTTTTTATTGATTTCGAAGAGGAAGGGAGAGGGAGAAAGAGAGAGCTAGAAACATCAATAAGGAGAGAGAATCATCCATCGGCTGCCTCCTACACGCAAGCCCAAAACACGGCATGTGCCCTTGACCGGAATTGAACCTGGGACCCTTCAGTCCACAGACAGACGCTCTACCACTGAGCCAAACCAAGGAGGGCACATTGATCTTTCTTTAATTGTGTTTTATTTGCAAGTGCCTTATCCTACCGACACGTTTTTGAGGGCAAGGACTATGGCTAGCATGTGAGTCATGGAAATGTTGACGTGAATGTTAGATACTTTAAACATGAGAAGGGGAAGAGAATTGGCATTATCTTGTATGTTCTTCAGAAAGGAGAACATGTGTTCCTGTTTAATCCTCATAATAAACAGCATGTGAGGTAGATCACCTTATCCCCATTAAAAGCCTGAGACTCGGAGAAGTCCAGTAAGTTTATCTTTAGACTTTAGTTTGTCTGTCTCTTAAAAACTTAAATTATTTCACTATACCACATTGCCTTCCTGGTAAAAGAATTTCACCAGTTTATAAAGAAAGTTAGCCCTGGCCGGTTTGGCTCGCTGGATAGAGCGTCGGCCTGCGGACTGAAGGGTCCCAGGTTCGATTCTGGTCGAGGGCATGTACCTTGGTTGCAGGCACATCCCCGGTGGGGAGTGTGCAGGAGGCAGCTGATCGATGCTTCTCTCTCATCGATGTTTCTAACTCTCTATCCCTCTCCCTTCCTCTCTGTAAAAAAGCAATAAAATATATTTTTTTAAAAAAAGAAAGTTACTTATGGTCTCTGCCTTCATTTAGCTTTCAGTAACTGCACTAAGTTATGAATTGTCAGCTAAGTATAGGCAGATTCTATAGTACTCTGTTCTTTTGTGTATGCCCCAGGTGCTACCAGAGACCAAAATATAAAATAAAATGGCCTTCAGGCGGCTCTCTTGGAGGCAGCTAGCGCGAGGCTGGGAAGTGCTGCCCAGAGGAGCGAACAATACAGTCAGGATGGCTAAAGGTGATCGCAAGAAGCCAAGGGGCAAGATGTCTGCTTTTGCCTTCTTTGTGCAGACATGCAGAGAGGAACATAAGGAGAAAAACCCAGAAGTTCCCGTCAATTTTGTAGAAATGTCTAAGACATGCTCTGAAAGGTGGAAGACAATGTCAGCAAAAGAGAAATCTAAATTTGATGAGATGGCAAAGGCAGATAAAGTACACTATGATCGGGAAATGAAGGATATGGACCAGCTAAGGGAGGCAAGAAGAAGGACCCAGAAGGCCACTGTCTGGATTTTTCCTTTTCTGCTCGGAATTCCACCCCAAGATCAAATCCACAAATCCTGGAATTTCTATTGGAGATGTGGCAAAGAAGCTGGGCGAGATGTGGAATAACTTAAGTGACAGTGAAAAGCAGCCTTACAACAATAAGGCTGCAAAACTGAAGGAGAAGTATGAGAAGGAGGTCGTCGACTATAAGTCCAAAGGCAAGTTTGATGGCACAAAGGGTCCCGCTACAGTTGCCCAGAAAAAGGTGGAAGAAGATGAAGAGGAGGAGGAGGAAGAGGATGAATAAACTTTATCTGTCTCCTTGTGAATACTGTATGTAGGGGAGCTCCGTAATTGACACAGCTCTTATTTGAGAGGTGTCTGTTGCCCTCATTAGGATTAATTACACAATTGGACCATGATCATATGTAGTCTCTCAAAGTGCTCTAGAAATTGTCAGTGGTTTACATGCAGCGGCCATGGGTGTCCAGAGCACCCAGAAACTGCATCAAAGTTATACATATTTCCAAACATTTTTAAAACGAAAAGGCTCTTGTGTTCTCCTCGTTCTGTGCACTTTGCTGTTGGTGTGACAGGGCATTTAAAAATGTTTCTGGCATTTTCTTTCTCTCTCTCTTTTTTTAATCTGTGAGGTGGTGTTACCTATTTGGCTATTGGCTAGAAATCCTGAGTTCTCAACTGCACATCTCTATAGTTTGTAAAAAGAACAAATAACCAAGACAAGCTCTTGATGCTCTTTGCTTGGCGTTGAGGCTGTGAGGAAGATGCCTTTTGGAGGGGCTGTAGCTCAGGGTGTGCACTGTGAGCCTGGACCTGTGGACACTGTAGTGGGCATCCATTTAGCTTTAGGTTGTCTTGTTTTTGTACATTGTGACATAGCATCCTGCCATTCTTAGCTGTGGAAAAAGGGGGGTCAGCTGGCATGAGAAGTATTTGGATCGTTTTTAGTTGTGTGGTAGTTTTAAAACAAACTACAATTCTTCATTGTCAACAAAGTGACAGTGCATCAATGAAAGTTCAAGAACCTTCTGTACTTAACACAATTTGCAATATTTTGTTAATTTTTTATGTTTAGAATGCTGAAATGTTTTTGAAGTTAAATAAAAACAGTATCACATTTAAAAAAATAAAATGGCCTTATTGAATGAGTGAACCAAGGAAGGTATGGAAGACAAAATAATGGTTCCTCCAAAGACAGTGATGGCGAACCTATGACACGCGTGTCAGAGGTGACACGCGAACTCATCTTTTTGGTTGATTTTTCTTTGTTAAATGGCATTTAAATATATAAAATAAATATTAAAACTATAAGTCTTTGTTTTACTATGGTTGTAAATATCAAAAAATTTCTATATGTGACACGGCACCAGAGTTAAGTTAGGGTTTTTCAAAATGCTGACACACCGAGCTCCAAAGGTTCGCCATCACTGTCCAAAGATGTTCACGTCCTAAGCCCTAGGACCTGTGAATATATCACATGACAAGAGTAAATTAAGTATGCAGATGGAATTGAGGTTGCTAATGAGCTGACCTTAAGTCGGGAGAATATCCCGGATTACTTGATAGGCTTACTGTAATTACAAAGTTCTGAAAAGTTGGAAGAGGGAGATAGAAGTGTCAAAATGATGCAATATCACAAAGACTTGACCAGCTATTGCAGCTTTTGAAGATGAAAGCGCAGGCTTTAAAAACTGAAAAAGTAAAAGAAAATAAAAATTAAAAAAATAGCACACACACACACACACACACACACACACACCTCTCAACAGATTCTCTACTAGAGCCTACAGAAAGAATACAAGCCTGAAGACACTTTGATTTTGGACGTCTAAACCACAGAAAGTGGCAAATTTGTGTTGTTTTTTGCCGCTAAGTTTGTAGTAATTTGTTACAGCAGTAATAAGAAACTAAGATAGAGCTCTAGCTGGTTTGGCTCAGTAGATAGAGGTCCGCCTGCGGACTAAAGGCTTCTTTCTGGGTTTGATTCTGGTCAAGGGCACATGCTCGGGTTGCAGGCTCCATCCCCAGAAGGGGGCGTGCAGGAGGCAGCCAATCAGTGGTTCTCCTATCAAGGATGTTTCTCTTCCTCTCCCTTTATCTCTGAAAACAATAAAAATATCTTTCTTTTTTTTTAAAGAAACTAATATAGAAAAGGGAGCCAAATCATGACTAACCTCCAAAGTACTCTGATTTGGACTGTGATTTGTGCTTTAAGTGCGGTTGTGGTTTAACTGAAAGTTTTCTTTAAGCAAAGTTATAGGCACTCAAAGCTACCTAGATTTCCAGTAGAGGCATACATTACACTTCACTTTATTGTGCTTCACTTTGTTGCATTTTATAGGTGTGTTTTTTTACAAATGGAAGGCAACACTGTCCACCAGCAAAAAGATTACAACTCACTTAACTGCAATACTCACTTTATTACAATGATCTGGAACCAAACCCACAATATCTCCAGGGTCTATCTGTATTTCCCTATTGCTCTGCTTCTTCTGGCATCAGTCCTCAAGCTGTATGATATACTAGAGGCCCAATGCACGAAATTCGTGAATGGGTAGGGTCCCTTGGCCTAGCCGGCGATCAGGGCCAATCTGTGGGACGACCGGCGGGGCGATTGGGAGGGCCCCCATTGACACCTGCCTTGGCTGGCCTGGAGCCTGCAGGCTGGGGGCAGCACCTGTGTTGAGCTCTGCCATCTGGTGGTAAGTGCACGTCATAGCAACCAGTTGTTCTGCCGTTCAGTCGATTTGCATATTAGGCTTTTATTATATAGGATGGGCTATTTGATATTACTGTCCAGCAGCAGGTCTTAGCTAAACTGCTCTCAGATCCCCACCCCCACCCCTCTGCAATAGATGCAAATAAACATTTCATGGCGCTTCCTTGCTGGGATGTTGTCTAAATGCAGTCTAGATAAATAGGAAAAGCTCTGTAACATAAACTTTAAAAATAAGGCTTCAGATGTTAAAATAAATTTTTAAAGCCTTGGCTGTGTAGGTCAGTTGGTTAGAGCATCATCTCTATATGCCAAGGTTTTCGGTTCGATCCCTCCTCAGGACACATACAAGAAGCAAGCAATGAATGCTAAAATAAGTGGAAAAACAAATTGATGTCTCTGTCTCTGCCTCTCTTTTTCTCTCTAAAATCAATAAATAAATTTTTGTTTTGTTTGTTAATCCTCACCACAAGATACTTTTTCTATTGATTTTTAGAGAGAGTGGAAGGGAAGAAAGGTGGGGGGGCGGGGGAAGACACAATTGGTTGCCTCCCACACTCTCCCTTACTGGAGCTGGGGCTGAAACTGGGAAGCAGGTATGTGCCCTTGACCTGAAATCTAACCTAAGACCCTTTGGTGCATGGGCTGATACTCTAACCACTGAGAACACAGGCCCAGGCAACCAATCAGTAAATTTTTTTTTCTTAAGAAATTTTTAAAGATAAAACTTACTGGTTAAGTTTATAACTAAATGTTTAAAATAGTGAATTTATTTTAAAAATTTTTCTTAATAGAAGATATCAAATTGAAATAAGGTTAAATTAATAAAATGAATTTTAATAATTCACTTATTCTTAGCTAAGATCAAAATCAACAAATAGCTGCACAAATAAGGGATTGAGGCCACGTAGGGAGAAATATGGTAAATGATGAAGAACGTCACTCAAGTCCAATAGCCATGTTTACATTCAAGCTTCTCCATTTTTTAACAGTACAGTGGTTTCCATGCCAGAAAAATTGTGATTTTGCAGCTCTTCCCATAAAGAGGTAAAATCTACTTCCCATCCTTTGAATCTGCAGTAATATGTGACAGAAGACCATGCTGATTCTGAGCTAGGTTTGAAGAGGTCTTACGTTATTTCAGGTCCCTTGGACCTCTGCCACTGCTATGACAAGTCCAGGATACACGGCTAGAGAATGAGAGACAGTGTAGAGCAGAGTCAGTCATCCCAGCGGAGGCCAACCTTGACCAGCCAGCCACCCTCTTTGGTGGTAAGACAGACATTGGTGTGCAGCCAAGAGTGAGAACCATGCACAGATGTCAACGGTCAAGGAAATTGCAACCCATTTAACTAACATGTTGTCTTTTGGGTACCATTATACCAATTAAATATGCAGTACATATTTCTCCAAAACAAATATTCATGTACCCATTAGCTAGCATTAGAAAGAGATCATTACCAATTTCTCTGTCTGCCTTGCCCCAGTCTTATCTCTTTACTTTCTCTTTAAGAGTAAGCATTATTCCAAATGATGTGCTTATTCTCTTGCCTTTTCCTTTCAATTTACTAAATATGTATATACTAGAGGCCCAGTGCACAAAATTCATGCACTTGAGGGGGGAGGGTCCCCCAGCCTGGCCTATGCCTTCTCACAGTGCGGGAGCCCCTCAATCGATCTCCCTAAAGAGGTAGGCCCCGCCCACCCATTGGGGCTCCTCGATGGATTACCCCAAAGAGGTAGTCCAAAGCCAGGGGTCTCGCCTCTGCTGCTCCACATGCACGCAGCTCCGCCCACCTAGTGCACTCACCGCACACGCAGCCTCCTGGAGATGGATTGTTACAGCGTGAGGGCATCATGGCATGAGGGTGTGATGACCACATAGGCTTTTATTAGTATAGATTCCCCAAGTGATGAATTAAGCTTTGTATGTTTGATTTCTTTAATCCTCACCCAAGGATATTTTTTCCATTGATCTTTAAAGAGAGTGGAAGGGAGGATGAAGAGAGAAAGAGAGAGAGAGACATCAACTGGTTGCCTTCTACACGCCCCCAGACTGGGACCAAGGATTGAATCTGCAACCCAGGCATGTACCCTTGACCGGGAATTAAACCCAAACGCGAGACCCTTCAGTCCAAGGGCCAACGCTCTAACCACTGAGTAACCGTTCAGGGCAAGCTTTATGTTTTGAATTTTATATGTTCTATTGCTGTATATAATAGTTTTCACTCAATATTAGCTTTTTGTTTTGTTTTTTAATCCTCACCTCAGGATATGTTTTTTTTTTAATATATTTTATTGATTTTTTACAGAGAGGAAGGGAGAGAGATAGTTAAAAACATCAATGAGAGAGAAACATCGATCAGCTGCCTCCTGCACACTCCCCACTGGGGATGTGCCCGCAATCAAGGTACATGCCCTTGACCGGAATCGAACCTGGGACCCTTGAGTCCGCAGGCTGACGCTCTATCCACTGAGCCAAACCAGTTAGGGCCAGGATATGTTTTTTATTGATTTTTTAGAAAGAGAGGAAGGGAGAGAGAAGTATTAATCTGTTGCCTCCTGCTTTTACCCAACTGGGAATCGAACCCACAACCTTTTTGGTATACAGGACAATGCTCCAACCTGGACTAATATTGTCCAGGGCTCAATATTAGTTTTTGAGAGTCATACATGTAATGCATGTCACTGCAATTTATTCTTTTTATTTCTGTATGGATTTCCATTGTATGACCATATCTCTGTTTACTCACTCTTCTACCAATGGACATTTGGGCTTTTCACAATTTTTGATAATGCTCCATATTCTATTACTATGTACATTGTTATAGATATTTTCCAGTGTACATGTATAAGTGTTTTTGTAGAATAAATACCAAAGAATAGAATACCTGGGCTTCAGACTTGTACATTTTCAACTACAAGATGATGCCAAATTTATTTTTTTAGATATTTGTATTTACTCTCTCGCTGACAATGTATGAAAGTTCCTAGTGCTTCCTTCACGGCCTCTTTAACATTTGCTATTGTCTGATCTTTTCATTTTTCCCAAAATGGTGGTTGTGAATGATCTCATTGTGGTTGTTTTAATTTGTATTTCTCTGATTTGTAATGAGAATTCTTATGGTTTTACTATCCACCTGTATAAACTTTTCCGTGAAATGTCTGTCTGTGTCTTCTCATTTTTTATCTATTGTAGGCATTCTTTATGTATTCAGGATACTAATCCATTGTGCAAATGTCTTTTCCCAGTTCTGGCCGACCTTTTCACTTCTTCAAGAGTGTGGGGACAATGCTGAAAGGAGTGACAAGACTCGTCTCCAGGGTCCATAAGGTGAGTCCTAACTGACTTCAGTGCTTTGTACAAACTGTCTGTAGGTGGACTTCTGTTTTTACATGGATTTACTATTCCAGGATTAAATGCTCTAGAGAACTTCAGCTGACTTTAATTTATACGTTCACACTCAAAAGAACAGTTACAGTCCATTTCCCTTCCCATTCACTTCACTCCCGGCTGCCCTAACAATCTTCAAGTAACATGGTCTCCATAGAATAGTTCTGTTTGAGAATTTACCATGTCATAGGAGAAGTAACATTTTTTAAAAGATTGATTGCAGTTCTAACTTTTATTCATATTCTCTAGTTAGATTATCATTTCTTAATAAAGTACTTAAAAGAAAAATATGTTGCCAGTTTAGACCCTAAGTATCTGATAGTTGAATAAAATCATATGTGAAAAAAACATTCTGTTGCTCTACTTCATTCTTTCATTTATTTAGCAAATAGTTTTCATTACTTTCCATATTGCAAGTACTGAGGATTTTCAGATTACTCATTTCACTAATGGTTACTATTTGTTGGGCATTCGTTATGTGCCAGGCACTGGGCTAATGCTTTACTTTTTTAGTTGTCATAATAACCCAGGAACTAGATGATACCTTTGTTTCACAGGTGCAGAAATTGAGGATTAGAAAGGCAAAGTAAGAGGCTGTGAAATTGCAGAGCCCAGACTAGGTACCAGGTCTGTCTGACTTCAAAGCCTGTGGCTTCAACCACTGTGCTATAGTGCATGTTATAGTCCGTGCAATTTAGGATCTCAAAGTCAGTAGTGGAATCATGAACAAATGGTTGTTATAGTATGGTGCTGTTATTAAAGCACCCAGTAGGAGCACTTAACCTGGATTAGTGGGATCCAGAGGAAATCCTCCCAGAGCTGCATCCTGAAAAATGAGAACTGAGCCAGAAGGGCTTAGTCACTTCCATCTCATTGTTTAATTATTGCAGATTAGATTTCCTAGAAAAGCAGCCCTTCCTCCTATAGAATTCACCTTTTTTCCAGGGGCTTACCATAAACCTATGTACATCAAATGAAAATAAAAGCAAGGATCAACAGAGGAAGGATTCTGGTTTCAACATTTAAAAAGCTACAATTTCTTCTTTAATAGCAGACAAGGAAGACAAGTCCAAAATGCAGAGATGTCTGAAGAAATTTTGTGCTTCACATAGATTGGTTTAGAGTAACTGTCTTGACTTGGCTCATGAATGCTATTCTTAACTGCATGATGTTCATTCTGGAACTGTGTAGAGGCTATTGTACTTATAGTTGTTTTCCCTGGAAGCAAGAGACTAGCTGGGTGATGCCATATATAATGCTGTGATAAGTAAGGAATCCATTTTGCTAGCTCTTAATTTGCTTCAAAAAGCAGTTAACAAAAGTCATAGAATTCTTGTAGAAATAGCACCACCTTGTGGTCCTTGAATATCTTAAACTTTCCACTTCACTATTTTTTTAATATTTTTTAAATATATTTTATTGATTTTTTACAGAGAGGAAGGGAGAGAGATAGAGAGTCAGAAACATCGATGAGAGAGAAACATTGACCAGCCGCCTCCTGCACATCCCCAACTGGGGATGTGCCCGCAACCCAGGTACATGCCCTTGACCGGAATCGAACCCTGGACCTTTCAGTCCGCATGCCGGCGCTCTATCCACTGAGCCAAACCGGTTTCGGCGACTTCACTATTTTTTAGAGACACGGTACTTTCTCTCCAGTAGAATTGACACTGTCCTATCAATAGTAGGGTCTACTATTCAGGTTGCTGTACTGAAGCAACAGACCCTGAATTCTCATTGGCTTAACACAACAAATGATGTTGTTTATCAAGATCTGTCCCTGTGTTTTGTTTTTCCTGTTGCTGTATTTCCAGAGTGGTTTATAGGCACGTGTGGGAGGGGCTTGACATGGGAATGAAGGTTCATCTTGGGATGCCACCTCAGCACGTCGGCTGCCGTGACAGGGGAAGAAAGAGGATTTATAGTCACGCTAAGCTGACTGACTAGAAAAGACACAAATTATATTCATGTAGAGCTCATTTATGAGAATTAATAAAATAACCCCAATTTGCACAGGAGGTTGGGAAATATAGAGAATTTGGATATTTGACAAACATTGGAATCTGCAATCCTCAGACAGAGTTGGAGCAACTCTATTACTTTATATTAAATCTATAAGTGCTGGTTCAAGAGGTTTCTGTATGCAGTTGAGTTGAATTAGTGCAATTTATTTTCACTTAGCTAGATGCTTTACATACTCCCTGCTATATGTCTCCAATGAAAGATTCTTTATTCCAGAGCACAGTATGAAGTATTTGTGGTGTGTTACTTAGAGAAGGAAATACAAAGGTGAATAAAATCTGATCCATTCTCTTCCAAGTGTGTGTCCTACAATGGGAGACAGACTTGTGTATAAGATAATCTATATATATATAAAAGCCAAGTGACAGGAACAACCAGTTGCTATGACATGCACTGAGACAGCCAACTAGCTCGATCCCTGATCGGGGACCCCCTAAACTGCCTGTGGCCCCTCCCCCCAGCTGGCCCAGCCCCCAGTCAGCCCCACCTGATTGGTGACAGGGCTGGCCGACCAACTGCCTGCAGCCCCTTCCTATCAGGCCCCATCCCCAGTCACCCCCTAACCCCGATCAGGGGCAGGGCCAGCTGGCAAACTACCCATGGCCCCTGCCCTTGGCCAGCCCAGCCCAAATTGGCTGGATCCCACCCTTGCATGAATTCATGCACTGGACCTCTAGTATATAATAAAAAGAATAGATTTTGGAGTCAGACAAACCTGAATTTGAATTCTGGCTTCACCACCTGCCAACTCTGACCTTAGACAGGATTAATTTCCCTGAATCTTGGTTTCCCTCATCATAAAACATATGATATTATACCTATCTTCTAGGATTCTTGGCTCAGAAATGTGTTTAAAACTCTGTATTGCCTCACATCTAACAAGTATTCAGTTAACAAAAGCCGTGAATGCAGTTCAAGGCAGAGTAAAAATGCCATGGAAGCACTGGCCGGTGTGGCTCAGTTGGTTGAATGTTGTCTCTTATATAGGTCTCGTTGCTGGTTCGATTCCCAGTCAGGGCATGCAGGGGGCAGCCAGTTGATGTTCCACTCTCACATCCATGTTTCTCTCTCTAAAAATCAATAAAAATATATATTTTTTTAAAGAACCTATTGCCCTGTCCAGTTTTTCTCAGTGGTTAGATCAAAGGGTCACGAGTTTGATTCCAGGTCAAGGGTATATACCTCAGTTGAAGTTTCAATCCTCAGCTTGGGGGTCGTGCAGGAGGCAACCAGTCCGTGTGTGTCTCTCGTATCAGTGTTTTCTCTCTCTTTGCACCCCTCCCTTTCACTCTCTTTAAAAATTAATGGGACAATATCCTTGGGTGAAAATTTAATATATATATATTTTTTTATTTTTTTTAAATGCCATGCAAGACAGTGCTATCAGCAGAGAGGGAAAATAATTACTTTTGACTGGAGGTATCTGGAAAAGCTTCACAGAGGTTGTGACATTTGAGATTAGCCTTAAAGGAGGAGTAAGATTTCAATAGGGAGAGAGGGAAGTTGAAGTAGAATAAGCAGTATAGAAGTATCAAAATGAATAATATGGTCATAGGCTAGAATATGGAGTTCATACAAGGAATGAGACTAGAGAGGTCCATTGAAGTCATGGCCTTGATTACCATGCTAAGGACTTTGGGTCTTATTTTGGCATTAGTAGGAAATGAAACGTGTGTGTGTGTGTATTTATTGATTTCAGAGAGGAAGGGAGAGGGAGAGTTAAAAACATCAGTGATGAGAGAGAACTGTTGATTAGCTGCCTCCTGCACTCCCCCCACTGGGGATGGAGCCTGAAACCCGGGCATGTCCCCTTGACCGGAATTGAACCTGGGACCCTTCAGTCTGCAGGTCGACACACTATCCACTGAGCCAAACCAGCTAGGACAAAACCAAACTTTTATTAGAGGAAGGTTAAACTTACTATTTGGGAGGACAAGTCTTTTACACTATGAAAGATGAAGAATCAAAGATTTAGAGGTAAAGATAACCAATTAGAAAGTTGTTATTGAGTTTAAGGTCTTTTTAAGTGGATGTAAGTGTTATGAGGGCTGGTACAAAAATAACACATTTTCTGCACTCATGAGGCTGCTTGGTAAGACTAAATAGAAATACAGGCAGTTTCTATGTTACCTGTTGATTTATCGGTTATCTTCCTTATTGCAGCCATCTTTCATATCTGCTTCTGCTGATTTCATATCCTAATCTTTCCCTTGTAACTGGCATCTTTTCACTCCTACATAAGCCTATTATCCTCAAACTCAGTTTGGGGGTTCTCCAGTTAGCATTTTGCTAGATTTGTCTCCTGAATCATCCTCTCTCTGCACTCCGTCCCCCCAATCCCTTCCTAGTTCAGAGGTTTCCACGTGCAGTTCACTGAATTTAGCATTAACTTTTCACTTACCTAGATGCTGTACATACTCCCTCATTCTTTTATCAATAAAGGTTCTTTATTCCAGGACACAACTGGCAAGAAAATTGTAGAGAGTATAATTATACCTACCAAGTAGGAACATTGCACTAATCCCCTAATTACTGCAGTAACTACAATTACTGGACAGCTGAGAATTGAACAGTACTGGCCACCATTCATCATTGTGGGCAAGAGCATTAAAAGAAGTTTCCTGCTTCAGGTTAATGGCTGTACTATGTTCCTGAACAATCTCTAATGGAATTATTTGTTTCCATTTGGAACAGAGCCCTGGTATCCTATCTAATAAAAGCCTAATATGCTAAGTGTTCAGTCATCCGTTCAACCAAAGCGTAATATGCTAATGATATGCTAAGGCCGCTTAACCACTCTCTATACATGTACTGATCACCAGGGGGCAGACACTCCAACCAGTAGGTTAACTTGCTGCTGGGGTCCGGCCGATTGGGACTGAGTGAGATGGGCCAGACACGCCCTGGAGCCCTCCTGCAGTCCTTCCCTTGCTGGCCAACCTCCTGCGTCCCTCCCCGGCCCTGTCTGTGCACCAGTGGGGTCTCTCGGCCTGGCCTGCACCCTCTCGCAATCTGGGGGTGCACTGACTGTCAGGTAGTTCCATCTATATAATAAAAGCCTAAGCGACCGTTATGGTGCAACAGGCAGAATGACCGGTCACTATGATGTGCACTGACCACCCAGGGGCAGACACACTCGCAGGAGCTGCCCCTGGTGGTCAGTGTGCTCCCTCAGGGGGAGCACCGCTCAGCCAGAAGCTGTGCTCATGGCTCACCCCACGCCCCCACCCCCATCTTCACCCCTCCACCCCCCAGTGCATGAATTTCATGCACTGGGCCTCTAGTAGCAACATAAGCTGAAATAGATTCAGAGCCAGAATAATGTGATTATACTTAGAGAATTATAATAAGTACAAGGATCCTCATTTTACATAAAAATAAAATGTACGTTAGTGGCATTTTTCCCTGTTGCAGATATTGCTTAAAAACTAAGTGTTGTAGCAAGCATAAACTTTATAATTACAAAACACTAGCCCTAACCAGTTTGGCTCAGTGGATAGTGCATCGGCCTGCGGACTGAAAGGTCCCAGGGTCGATTCCGGTCAAGGGCATGTACCTTGGTTGTGGGCACATCCCAGTAGGAGGTGTGTAGGAGGCAGCTGATCGATGTTTCTCTCTCATTGATGTTTCTTAACTATCCCTCTCCCTTCATCTCTGTAAAAAAATCAATAAAATATATGTTTTTAAAAATTACAGAACACTAACATGGTTTCTTTTCTAGTTGGACCCTGGACATTTTTTGCGCCTGGGGACCCAGGCACCCCAGAGCCTTGCTGTTCAACTGGATAGCCAGGTTTCATTTGAGAGTCCTAGAGCTATTTCCTGCACCAGTGAGAATGACCCGGTGAGTTGCTAATATGTATATGAATTTTTTTCAGTACTTATAATCTCTGCTGCTGTCATATCAAGAAAATGTAAATGTAGTCAGACAATGCACCCAAGACAGCATTCTGGAACCCATGTCATCCCCATCCCCCTCTCTGATATTATAACACTAGAGGCCCGGTGCACAAATTCGTGCTCGGGTAGGGTCCCTCCGCCTGGCTGGTGATAGAGGCCTATGTGGTGGGGCGGGGGCCAAACAGGGAGGGGAGGGGTTGCAGGAGGCTGGCTAAGGGAGCGCGCTGACCACCAGGGGGCAGCTCCTGCGTTGAATATCTGCCCCCTGGTGGTCAGTACACATCATAGCAACTGGTTGACCAGTCGTTCTGGTTGTACTAGTAGTTTAGCTGTAGCAGTCTCTTAGGCTTTTATATCTACACTAATAAAAGACAAAGATGCAAATTGACCATACTTTCGCTACGCTCTAAGCCATGCCCACCAGCCAATCAGCAACTATATGCAAATTAGCCCAACCAAGATGGCAGCCAGCAGCCACGGAGCTGGAGCAAGCAGGAGGCTTGGTTGCCCCGGCAATGGAGGAAGCCAAGCTTCCCGCCTGCTTTGAGCCGGCTGTAGACTCCGCTTATTGGCAGCAAAGTTTCAATTATAGAAGACAAATAATGTACTAGTAGTTTAGCTGTAGCAGTCTCTTAGGCTTTTATATCTACACTAATAAAAGACAAAGATGCAAATTGACCCTACTTTCGCTACGCTCTAAGCCATGCCCACCAGCCAATCAGCAACTATATGCAAATTAGCCCAACCAAGCTGGCAGCCAGCAGCCACGGAGCTGGAGCAAGCAGGAGGCTTGGTTGCCCCGGCAATGGAGGAAGCCAAGCTTCCCGCCTGCTTTGAGCCGGCTGTAGACTCCGCTTATTGGCAGCAAAGTTTCAATTATAGAAGACAAATAAATCTCAGATCCCTGCTTCCAGCCAGCCTCCACTGAGAGCTTGGGTGGCTGGGGATCGTGGCCAGCCTGCAAGTAGCCATCAGCCCCTCACCCAGGATGGCCACACCCTCAGGGGGTGAGGGTCCCCGCTGGGGGGCTTAGCCAGCCTGAAAATGGCCCTCAGCCCCTCACCCAGACTGGCCAGGCACCCCAGTGGGGACCCCCACCCTGATCTGGGACACCCTTCAGGGCAAACCAGCCGGCCCCCACCCATGCACCAGGCCTCTATCCTATATAATAAAAGGGTAATATGCAAACTGACCCTAACAGCAGAACGACTGGGAATGACTGGTTACTATGACACACTGACCACCAGGGGGCAGACACTCAATGCAGGAGCTGCCCCCTGGTGGTCAGTGCGCTCCCACAGGGGGAGCTCTGCTCAGCCACAAGGCAGGCTGATGGCTGCCAGTACAGTGGTGGTGGTGGGAGCCTCTCCCGCCTCCTCAGCAGCGCTAAGGATGTCTGACTGCAGCTTAGGCCTGCTCCCCACTGGCAAGTGGACATCCCCCGAGGGCTCCTGGGCTGCCAGAGGGATGTTTGACTGCCAGCTTAGGCCCATTCCCCCCAGGGAGCAGGCCTAAGCCAGCTGGTGTCATCCCCCGAGGGGTCCCAGACTGTGAGAGGGCACAGGGCGGGCTGAGGGACCCCTCTCCCCCTGAGTGCACAAATTTTTGTGCACCAGGCCTCTAGTATATAGATAAAACACTTAGGCAGGTCAGTCCACATTTGTTCTCATTTAATCCTGCCATTAAATTCATCTTATGCCAAGGATTTTGCTGGGGATAGAGCAGGCACATAGTAAATACTTAAGTCAATTCCTCGGAAGTTAAATTTAGCAGATATTATTGATCTTACTACATGATGGGTTGACAAACATTTTCCTTAAAGGACCAGATAGTAAAATTTTAAGCTTATGATCCACAGTGGTCTCTGTCACAACTGTTTAGCTCTGTTATAAACAAATCGAAATGGATATGTTCCAATAAAACTTTATTTTAAAAATGATAGTCAACCATAGTATAGACTGGTAGGCAAAATTCTAAAGAAATCAACTTAACTTGTCCAAGATCACAGCAGATCAGTTACAGAACCTAGTTTTCCTAATAACCCATCTGGGACTATTTTCTATCTGTTTTTCTAAGTGGATTTCCTAGTTCTAGAGAAGGAAGTAACTTGACTTGTTGAGAAGAGCTGCATTTAAAATGAAGTTTGTCAGCAGAAGCTAGGATTACAGTGGTATCCAGTGTTGTATTTCTGCTTCAGATCCCATTAGACTAGATGTTGATTTTTTTTCTCCTTCCCCAGCATTATTGCTTCCTCTCATAAATGAAGTTAGTTGTAAGGTCTGTGATTAAATGTGAAGAAAACCAATAGCTTTTGTTTGTTTGTTTGTTTTCCTACTCTCTGAGTTTCCCCATCTTAACATATGCTGCTGTGCATGTGGGAGGGGAAAAAATAATTCATTACCCAAAACACTATCTCAGCAGGGTGTGTTTTATTTATATCTCCAGTGTTCACCTGCTTTCAAAAGCACAAAATGAAATAGAATAAGTGAATGAAATCATCAAAGTGCCTTTCCCTGTGAATATAGTCTCTTCATCTGCCAGTTCCTCTAGAGTTTCTATGGAAACAGCAGCATGCAGATGATCTTGTCACATGACTGGATCATCTCTATACACAGCACAGAAGAATCCAGATGGCAAGAATTGTCACTGCTACCTCCACATCTAGGGTTTACGTTGCTGGGCAACTGGTTTCATCACTCAGGCCAACCCCAGCGTATCTACACACTGGATTTGGGGACAACAACCAGCATATTTTTTGTTTAAGATAAGAAATGAAAGATAGGCTTTTCAATTCTGAGAGATGAATGTTTTGTCATTATTGTCTATCGGGCCCTTTACACTTTTCAAAGATTTTGTCACTTTATCTACAGCCCCATTATATCTGTTTGCATTTTTATTTCATAGGCCAGGCATGAGGAGAAGCATGAGGGTCAGCACTACAACTTACCCCTCCAGGATATGAAGACTATATTCCCCCATGGCCTGCCTCCTCGATATGCAATGCAGGTGCTCAGAACAGGGGAGGGAATTGGAGGGAGCCCAGAACACAAGCTGTTCATAGCAGTGATGTGATGAAATGAATAGAAAACTATAAAAAAAAAAAAAAAATTGCCGAGACCAGTTTGGCTCAGTGGATAGAGCGTCGGCTTGCGGACTGAGGGGTCCCGGGTTCGATTCCGGTCAGGGGCATGTGCCTGGGTTGCGGGCACATCCCCAGTGAGGGGTGTGCAGGAGGCAGCTGATCGATGTTTCTCTCTCATCGATGTTTCTGGCTCTCTGTCCCTCTCCCTTCTTCTATGTGAAAAATCAATAAAATATATTTTTTTTAAAAAAAAAAGAAAACTATAAAAAAATGAAACTTGAATCTTAAAACAATAGATGAATTCATCTTTTGTTAATGGTGCTATTACTTTAAGCCAATGTTTATCTGTGTTTAACCGATTAAAATCCTTTTGGGAGGCAGGCAAAATATTCTCTTTTTTTTTTAACGCTCACACAAGGATATGTTTCCATTGATTTTTAGGGAAAGTGGAAGAGAGAGGGAAAGACAGAGAGAAATGTCAGTGTTAGGGAAACACATCGGTTGGTTGCCTCCTGCATAAGTCCCAACCAGATCCCAGGCAGGAAGGAACCTACAACCAAGGTACATGCCCTTGACCAGAACTGAACCCGGGACCCTTCAGTCTGCAAGACGATGCCCTACTGAGCCAAACTGACTAGGGCCAAAATATTCTTAAATAAACAAACAATATTCTGCTATTTTCCTTACCTAACAGGTTTTGGAAAATTTGAATATTTAAATAGTTGTTAAGAAAATGAATTTAATATTTTCCTTAGAAAAGTATCATGAAAATAGTTAATATGCTATAGAAAAAATTATAATGTATTCCTAAGACATATAGAAATTATGTTTGGATTAGATGTATCGTGTTCTTCAATTTCACAGATTTTCAGAAAATTCTAGATTTGTGGTCATAACTTAAACCCAAAGAGTTGCTTAGGTTGTGTTGTAGCCAATAAAGAATTCATGATCACACTGGCTGGTATGGTTCAGTGGTTGGAGTGTCAGCCCTCACACCCAAGGGTCTTTCTTGGGTTTGATTCCTAGTCAAGGGCATATACATGGGCTGCAGGTTCCATCCCCGGCCCTGGTTGGGTTGTGTTCAGGAGGCAACCTATCAATGTGTGTCTCACATCGATGTTTCTCTCTCCCTCTCCCTCTCTCCATCCCTCCCTTCCACTTCTAAAAAAATTTAATGGAAAATATATTCTGGGGTGAGGATTAACCAAAAAAAAAAAAAAAAAAAAGAAAGAAAAGAAAGAAATGGTCTACCCACATGTTTAAATGCTTAAAACCATTCAAGACTTGAAACTTAGTGGCACTTAAGTATGTGTTAAAGGGTTGCAATGGTTACAGTGGGCTTGTGTCTGTTGTTGTTAATCCTGACTGAGGATATTTTTTTCCATTGACTTTTTAAAAACATATTTTTATTGATTTCAGAGAGGAAGGGAGATGGGGAGAGCTATAGAAAGAAACATCAATGATGAGAGAAAATCATTGGTCAGCTGCCTCTTGCACACCCCCTACTGGGGGGATAGAGCCTGCTACCTGGGCATATGCCCTGACTGGGAATCAAATGGTGAGCTCCTGATTCATAGGTCAACACTTAACCACTGAGCCATGCTAGGGGTAGCATTAAGTAGCATTTTATATGCTTTTAGTATTTACATCAACCCTAAGTGGAATACCTACCAGTAGTTATGTTGTGAGATGTCTGTATTATTTGTAGATTTCAATTAACTGATGCAATATCTGTACTTCATAACAGATACAATCAAAAGCTGACTCTTACGTTAGTTGGTGTGAGATCATGTGTTTCAGTTTTTAGCTTAATTATCATATATGGATATATTTTCAAAATCAGAATCAACTCAGCCCCTCCTAACTGCATAAATTAAAAATATACAGTTTGTTGCTATATTAGGCTCCGTGTGCATACCAGGAACAGGTTAGAAGTTCCACACCCACTCTCTCCTTTCACCTTCCCTGTTTTATTAGATGAAGACATTCAATGAAGCTTGCCTGATGGTAAGGAAACCAGCCCTAGAGCTTCTGCATTACCTGAAAAACACCAATTTTGCTCATCCAGCTGTACGATACGTTCTCTGTATCCTTTCCTGCCTACATGGGCTGTCTTAAGCCAGTGCTTTCCTCCCTCAAATGTGAGAAAAGAAGAAATGCAAGTGTACTCTTTGTTAGCAGAAGTGTTCCTTCTGGCAATGTTTTCTTTAACAGCAAGTGCTTTAGATGGGGAAAAAGGAACAGGAAAAACACTCAGTCTTTGCCATGTTATTCATTTCTGTGCAAAACAGGACTGGCTGATACTGCATATTCCAGATGGTAAGAACTCTATCTTCACTGTACGGGTTTGTTACCCTGTTGCTGTGGTAGCGTTGTGGCTTTAATTTTCGGACAAGGCTCTCTGATGGCTACAGGGGAGGCCTTTGCTCCAGATACAGAATCATCTAAACTAGTTCATAATGTCTTCATTTTACGGACAAGCAAGGTGCAAGGTGAAGTAAATGCAACAAGAAGAAATTCAGCTGCCTGGCCAGTGTGGGTCACTCGTCTCATGCGCCAGGAGGTCACGTGCCCTGGTTGCACACTCAATACCCAGCAGGGGGCCTGCAGGAGGCAGCCCATTGATGTTGATGTTTCTCTCTCACCCATGTTTATGTCTACATCTCTCTTCCTCTCTCTCTAAAATTAATAAAAACCTATTTTTTAAAAAGAAGAAATTCAGCTGAAAGCTTCCTGGAACCTTTTGATAATAATGAACTATTTTGGCCCAGGAGTCCTCACTTTGATATGTGATGCCCAAGAGCATAAACTCCCACCTTAGAGGTCACCACAGGCATTATGGCCATCAGTCAGCAGTTTTGAGTATCCAGAGAAACTGACATGGTACTGGTAATCAGCATTCTAGAGTTTAAAAACTTAAATTCTCATTCTTTGTACATATCCTTGTTGTGTATGTGCATCCACATACTATGACTATCTTTAGAAACTACCAGGAAGCTGAGGTGACCATTAATTCACTTGGTATGCCTTGTGTATTGAGTGTAATGATAATGTTCAATCTAAAATAAACCTTGGAAACAAGGCTTTAAGAAATATATAGGGCCGTAACTGGTTTGGCTCAGTGGATAGAGCTCCGGCCTGCAGACTGAAGGGTCCTGGGTTCGATTCCGGTCAACAGCATGTACCTTGGTTGCGGGCGCATCTCCAGTGGGGGGCGTGTAGGAGGCAGCTGATGGATGTTTCTCTCTCTCATCGATGTTTCTAACTCTCTATCCCTTTCCCTTCCTCTCTGTAAAAATGCAATAAAATATATTTTTTAAAAAAGAAATATATAGCCCACTAAAATCATTCCCCATGACTTACAGTTAATAGAGTATTTTGTGTTGTATACAGTTAATTCCTGCCTACTTTGTTCTCTGTGCCCCCCGCACCCCCTTTTTTTAGCTCATCTTTGGGTGAAAGACTGCCGGGATCTTCTGCAGTCCTCCTACAACAAACAGCGCTTTGATCAACCTTTAGAGGCTTCCGTCTGGCTGAAGAATTTCAAAACTACAAATGAGCGTTTCTTAAGTCAGGTGATTAGACTCCCAGAAGTTTGGTGCTGGCCATTCTTTAAATAGATTTTACCTTCTTTGTGCCCCGAGTACCAGTAGACTGGAGAACTAGTATCATGGCTGAGATAACTATATCATTTTCTACTTCTTGCATATATAGTATTTTACTCACAGTGAGCTCACAATCTGAAACTCATTTACCCATAGAGCCATCAGTAGGCTGTTCCCATCTTGTGGGAAGCAAATTGAAGTTCAAATTAATTCACTGACTTTTCCAAGGTCACAGGCTCAAATTCTCTAAAGCATATTCTAACTACATAATTTTCTCCAGATAAAATCTTTTTTGGAACCAGAAATGTATTGGTAAAATTACTCTTTACTCTAGTAATTCTTAAATATGATCTCTAGGCCAGAGGTTTTCAAACCTAGATATTTAGAATCATCTAGGAGCCTATTAAAAATGTAGGTGTCAAGGTCTTATCCTGGACCTTTATAGTCAGAATCGTGTGTGTGTGTGTGTGTGTGTGTGTGTGTGTGTTTAAGTTCCAGGCAGAAATGGGCTACATAGCATTCACTTCCATACTGAGATAGACCTCTTACAGGGTGTGAAAAACAGATTTAACTGATTCCTAATAACACAACCTTTTGTTTGGCTTTAGATAAAAATTCAAGAGAAGTATGTCTGGAATAAGCGAGAAAGCATTGAGAAAGGCAGTTCTCTGGGAGAAGTAGTTGAACAGGTATAAAAAAAGATACTGTGTACTGTGCCATACCAGAGAAGGCCTCTTACAGACAGGCTGGACTGTAAGCCACTCTCCCTTTTGCTACAGGGTATAACACGGGTGAGGAACGCCACAGACGCCGTTGGGATTGTGCTCAAAGAGCTAAAGAGGCAAAGTTCTTCGGGTATTTTTCACCTCCTGGTGGCAGTGGATGGAGTCAATGCTCTCTGGGGAAGGACCACACTGAAAAAAGAAGATAAAAGTCCAGTAGGAAAACTGACTTTCTCTGCTCTGGTTTCTCTGGTTTCTGGTGCCATATTATATATAGTCTGGGCATAGTAGACATACAATATGTTTTCTTGCCTAGGAATATTTGAATTAGATGTATAGTGAAAATAGCATCAAAAGAAGCTGATACAGCCCTGGCCGGTTTGGCTCAGTTGATTGAGCACCGTCCTGTACACCAAAAGGTGGTGGATTTGATTCCCAGCCGGGCACATACCAGGTTGTAAGTTTGAGCCCCAGTCTGGGCAAGTACAGGAGGCAACAAATAGATGTTTCTTTCTCTATCTCCCGCCTCTTCTCTCTAAAGTCAATTTTTTTAAAGAGGATGATACCAAGTTCCACTATCCATTGAAAACTAAGGGAGAATATTTTGGTTTTTTAAAAATATATTTTACTGATTTTTTACAGAGAGGAAGGGAGAAAGATAGTTAGAAACCTCGATGAGAGGGAAACATCCATCAGCTGCTTCCTGCACACCTCCTACTGGGGATGTGCCTGCAACAAAGGTGCATGCCCTTGACTGGAATCAAACCTGGGACCTTTCAGTCCGCAGGCGGGGGCTCTATCCACTGAGCAAACCGGCTAGGGAAGGGACAGTATTTGAAGAGCATGACAACAGAAGCTACTAGTACATTTTTTTTCTTTCTATTCTCTTTTCAAAATGAGGCTGTGTGGTGTAAAAAGAGATCAGAAGTATCTTGGGGGTATTTGGAGACAGTGGGTGTTTTTGCCCTTGAGGACTGTTTTTAAACTCCAGAAGCACAGTAGTTTTAGGGCCAACAGCTCTGTAGCTTATCTCAGAGGCTTATCTTCAGCCTCTACTATGGTTATGTAGTAATTGAAGGTTCGTTATCAATTACTAGTGATTTGTCTCAGGGAAGCATCCAGGCAAAAGCAAGTAATGGCCTCTTCCTGCTCCCACCCCTTGCTCCCACCCCTTCTTCCCCTCACACACTGACCAATGTGCAGATCGCCGCAGAGGAACTAGCACTTATTCACAACCTGAGGAAGATGGTGAAAAATGACTGGGTGAGTGATATGATACCTAACACATTTCAGAGAGAAATGTATTTTCATTTCAAAGATCTTTCACTGTGTCATTCCTAGCACTTGGCAGTCTCTAATTTTATGGACAGAACGTTCTTTTATCTCATAACTGTACCAATTCCCATAACTGTACCAATTTTAAGATCTATATATTTGGTTTCTAATCTTTCCATTTAACTGGAGTAAGCTTATTCAAAACCATTTTATTTAAATATTGGTGTAATTACTTTGCTTACAATTGTTCAAAGTGTTTTTAGATCTTCTATCTGTTTTAGCTTTTTCTAATTGTCTTTTTCTCCTTTCTTTCAGAATGGAGGTGCCATTGTGATGACTTTGAGCCAGACTGGGGCTCTTTTTAAGCCCCGGAAAGCCTATCTGCCCCAGGAACTGCTGGGAAAGGTCAAACCATTGAAAAACTTGTTTCCCTTAGATAGTCATTCTGTCTAAAGACATCTTTTTCTTTTTTTTACATAATTTCAGACTTGGATAAAAATTATATTCCTGTATGACTTCACCCAAATTCCTAAAATGTTAACATTAATCATATTTGCTTTATTCTTCTTCCTCTTCATTCATTTTTTTCTGAATATGTGGCAGTAACCTGAGGATGCCTCTTTATTTAAAAATCACGTGTACTTCTTAAAACCAAAGATATCTTAATATATAACCAAAGCACAGCCGTCACAATCAGAAAGTTGACATCGATATAATACTGTTAACCTAACCTATGGAACTTATTCTGGTTTTGACAGAATATCCCAATATTCTTTACAGAAAAAAGAGGGTCTTGGGCAGTGTGTTGCACTCAGTTGTCATGTGTCTTTAGTCTCCTTTAACCTGGGACAGTTCCTCAGTCTTTGTCTTCTATAATCTTAATATTTTTATTTCTGAAGAATACATGCCAGTTATCTTAGGGGTTATTTTATGAAGTTGTCTGATGTTTTTCTCCTGATTATATGTGATATTAAAAGTGATGTGTGCTCTAAGTGCATAATATTAGGAGGCACATGAAACCTGTTTCTCCTACTACTAGCAATGTTAACTTTGAACACATAATTAAGGTGGCATCCATTTGGTTTCTCCTCAGTGAAGTTGTTATTTTATTTTTATAGTGAATAAATAACCTTGTGGATGTATATTTTGAGACTAGGTAAATATCCTGTTACTCCTCAAATTTCTCCTTACTAGTTTTAGTACTCATTGGTGATTCTTCCTAAATTAGTTATCATGATAATAGCAAAATAGATATGTTCTAGTTCTATCATTTCCTCTAAATGTATCAGTTGGCTTTCTATTATATGTAAGAGTTTTCCTTTCTACCTTATATATTTATTTATTTCAGTACAGACATGTGGATTCTTAATTTTTACTACCATTATTTATTTCGATGCTTAAATTATCCCAGATTTGGCCAGTAGGTGCCCCTTTAAGCTTACCCTGGATGCATATGGGCTACTAATAACACCCAGTTAAAGGCACCTTCTGGACCATGGTTACCCTGGATGCATATGGGCTACTAATAACACCCAGTTAAAGGCACCTTCTGGACCTTGGTTGGGCAATGTTAATACCCACCATTTCTAAGCCATGGAAAACTGATAGAGAAGAATTTATTTTCAAGATGAATTCGTGCCCTGGCTGGTTTGGCTAAGTGGATACAGCATCGGCCTACAGACCAGAAGGTCCAGGGTTTGATTCTAGTCAAGGGCACATGCACGGGTTGTGGGCTCGATCCCCAGCTGGGGGCATGTAGGAGGCAACTGATCAATGATTCTCTGTCATCATTGATGTTTCTAGCTAACTCTCCCCTCTTTCTTCCTCTCTGAAGTCAATAAAAATATTTTTTAAATTGAATTTCTAATGAGGTCAACATAGAACACAGTTGCCTGCAACAGCCACACACACACACACACACACACAGGCAACATGTAGTAGATGAACCAGAAGGAAAAGAGATTATCTTTAAAAGAGTATGTGTGGCCAAAAGCGCTACCTAGTGCAGTGATGGCGAACCTTTTGAGCTCGGCGTGTCAGCATTTTGAAAAACCCTAACTTAACTCTGGTGCCGTGTCACATATAGAAATTTTTTGATAATTGCAACCATAGTAAAACAAAGATTGATATTTTTGATATTTATTTTATATATTTAAATGCCATTTAACAAAGAAAAATCAACTAAAAAAATGAGTTCGCGTGTCACCTCTGACATGCGTGTCATAGGTTCGCCATCACTGACCTAGTGCGTACAGGCCCTGTGTGTCACTTAACAATTACTATATCTTTATCCTTTTTCTTTTCCAGGAAGGATTTGATGCCTTGGATCCCTTTATTCCTATCCTGGTTGGCAACTATAACCCAAAAGAATTTGAAAGTTGTATTCAGTATTATTTGGAAAACAGTTGGCTTCAACATGAGAAAGGTCAGTTGTTTAATTTTTTCTATAAGGACTTCATCTGTCAGGAAGAGCCCCACTGTCAAAACCTTGACCTCTTCTTCCCTCAAGAGTAGTGTGTAATTTGTATTTCATCTTTATTCCCTTTATCTTGACTTCTTCCTGGCTGATCACATGGTACAGAAGGGGGGCGGGGGTAAGGTTTAATTTACAAAAGACATTATATCTCTCCCAAAATTCTCAGAGTAGGCTACAATAAAATGCTCATGCTAAGAGAGGAGGCCAAACCAAGCCCAGTCACTTGGTTCAGGTTGCTGGCCACACTCTCATTGTTGCATTTTTCTTGGTTTTTTTATCTTTTTGTTCATTGTTGCATTTATTCATCATTCAACAAACTTCAGTTGACTCATATGCTAGGACACCCACAGAATAGTTGACTGTGTAAGAGGCTAAACCCCACCGCCCCATCAAACCAAATCTTTGCTTTGTCTGTCCTAGTCTTATACACGAGAGCATTCAAGCTGTTCTTTGTATCCTTGCCCTCAGCTTGAGGACAGGGAGGAGGAGGAGGATATAGAGGAAAAGTCAAGGCTGTTCTATCGATAGGTCATAGAGAATTAGCTGTAACTGGAATATGTTACCAAAGGAAAGAGTATAAAGCAGCGCAACATGATGGGTTGGTAAGCACAATGGAGAGATTTGGGGTGGTAGGGAGATTTGACCATGTCCTAAAGTCCAGAAGATAATCTTGGAATAATGGGAAAGATAAATGCTGGACTGGAAGAATAGAGACAGAAAGGGAAAATGTGCATAGGAAATATAATCATTTATTAGGATGAAGGATCTAGCAGTGAGGTCTCTGGGAGTGCTGATGACATCAGAATGTAATCTAGAAAATGTAGCCTCTGCAGAATTCTCTGGGTGTAACTTAATACTTCAAGAGAAAACTGCCAATTATTTGTGCTTGACTCCATTCAGCTCACACGGAAGAAGGTAAAAAGGAGCTGCTGTTCCTAAGTAATGGGAATCCTGGGCAGCTGGAGCGGCTCTGTGCCTACCTCTAGGCCATGGCCACAACATGCATGGAAGGCACTGGACATCACAGACAGGCCCAATCAGATGGGACGTCCCACAGCATACACACAGCTCATGAGACTGGACAGTACTGCAAATCAACTCCCAACTTGGCTGAAATGGGTTCCTTGTAAAGTGACTATAATGGCAATAAGACATTCTCTTGTTCCTGAAACTAATATCAGTTTATTATATATGGTTTTCACATTTTAATTGTGCCTCTTTTCCTAAAACTTAAATTATCTTTCTTAAAGTGTTGTGTTAGATCTATACGATGGGAAGAGTCTTCAGATTGGCCAAATTTTACACTTTTATTGGTGGTCCTTGAGAACCTTACTGACACTCCACCTGAATCTGGCAGCTTTGTACAGTACAGCCCCTTTATACAGGCTCCCAAAAGAATTAAGTAGTAAACCCCGACAGAATGCATTGTGTGTAATGATTCACGTGTCCTTAATGCATATAGAGTAGTACTAGCTGTGTACCATCTTTGGGAGATTTGAGAAATAATTACTCAAATAAGTTTCAATAGAGTTAAATTGTCTGACCATACCCAGGTTTTTGGTATAGAGTCAGAGTTTTGAGTCACAAATCTACCACTTAATCGCTATCTGAGTTAGGGTCTCTTACCCTATTTCCTTCTTTGACTTCACCTTATCTCTATTTCACTACATAAGGCCACTCTACCAAGTACAGGAGACAGCATCTCTACCTAATACATAGAAACAAACAAAGCCAAACTGACAAGACTAACAAATAGTTCCTAAATTTAAAAACAGGAGAAAATTTGAGAAAAAGAACTAAATGAAATGGAAGCAAGTAAATTATCAGATAGAGAGTTCAAAATACAGGTATAAGGATGCTCCAGGACTTTAGTGAGCCCTTCAGTAGCATAAAAAAAAGATATGGAATACCTACCTAGCAGGAGAGAGACCATGATCACAAGGGGGTTTTCCCAAGGTGAGGATACACTGCACTCCAGATGTGCAGACCCCGTGATTTCCCCAAATGTGGGAAACTTGGCTGCATAATTTGTGGTAGTGGGAACTGCATTTGCGTTCTCCCCCGAAAAATAAATAAAGGCATGGAGCCCTAGCCAGTGTGCTTAATAGTTTGTGTTCGCCCATGCACCAAATGGTCAAGGGTTCAATTCCCAGTAAAGGGCATGTACCTTGTAGGTTTGATTCCTAGCCCCAATCAGGGTGCCTCTGGGAGGCAACCAATTAATGTGTCTCTCTCGCATCGATGTTCTTCTCCCTCCCCACCTCTCTTCTTCCCTCCCACTCTCTAAAAATCTATGGAAAAAATATCCTCAGGTGAGGATTAACAAAAAAGTAATTTTTTTAAAAGGTCATAGAAACCACAAAAAAAGAATCAGATGAAGGATACACTAATGGAAATGAATAAATGATCACGGGGCCAGGTGTGTGTGTGTGTGGAGGGGGGAGCAGAGTGCACACCCAGTGTCTGCCCCCTCTGCCTAAGGCAGTGGTTCTCAACCTTCCTAAGGCCATGCGGCTCTTTAATACAGTTCCTCATGTGGTGACCCCCAACCATAACATTATTTTCGTTGCTACTTCATAACTGTAATTTTGCTACTGTTATGAATCGTAATGTAAATATCTGATATGCAGGATGTTATTTTCATTGTGAAAAACTGAACATAATTAAAGCATAGTGATTAATCACAAAAACAATATGTAATTATATATGTGTTTTCCGATGGTCTTAGGCAACCCCTGTGAAAGGGTCCTAGTTCCACCGGGGTTGCGACCCACAGGTTGATAACCGCTGGCCTAAGGGGTGAACTCTCAAGCCCCTACCACACCGGTTTGAGGACTTGGGGCTGCAGGCAGGACCTGGGGAACTGGTGACCGGCCAGGCCGGGCTCAGGGAGTGCTGAGGGTGCCTGTGCTGAATGGGGGCCCAGGGGAGAGCAATGCTGCCACGGAGGTGGGGGGCCATCGGGGACTTGGACCAGGAGGCCCCAGGCAGAGCCACGTCTCAGAGTGAATGCAGGCAGTCTGCTGGTTTGCAGACCCCGAATCAATCTCACTTCGAGGTAAAACAAAATCTGCCAGGAGAGGCAGGCAGCGGAAGCCAGAAGGGAAATCATGGCGCTTTGTAATCTAAGCCACAGGCGGCGAGGGAAGGGGAGGCGGGATGTTCCCCACGAAGAGTCCTCGCCCCAAAGCAGCGGGACTCCGCCAAGGTTACCAGCTGGGAGGGACCTTGGGACAAAGAGAGCAGCCGCCCGGAGGCACTGGTGCCTGACCGGACCCCTGTCTGCTGGGGGGCGAGGGGGGTGAGGGGAAGGGTGAAGCCCATCGAAGCAAATGGCCCCTTACCCAGAGGTCACAGGTCAAGGAGACAGAGGCTCTGGGCGGCCGAGGGTTCCATTTCCAGCTCCGACCTTTTACTGCTGTGCACCCTCCAAGGAAGAAGCCACTCGCCCTCTCTGTGCCGCAGTAGCTTCACCTGTGCAATGGGCACGTGAATGGGGTCGGGGCCATGTGATCTGCCGGACGTGAACACAGTGTGGGGTTATGTTGGGAAGGACGAGGGGAACCTGAAGGTGGAGGTTAGGCCACGTGAAGACGAGGGGAGATTGAAGGGATGGGGCCAGGAGTCAAGGAGCCCCAGAAGCTGACCAGGCAGGAAGGACA